CTGGGTAATGTATTGTTTAACCCAGGCCCAGACCACAAAGTATTCATTCAGCAATAGAAATATTATAGCTATGGATATTATATTATAGCTAGTTTCCAATACAACACTTCTCATTTTCGTGTAGTATAAATTGATGTTTTAAAATAACTAAAACTGAAATAAAATAAATATTACAGACAAATTTAAAAACAACAAAAGCTGATAAAAATGCAAAAAAAAATGCACAACAAAATTACTAAAACATTAATTAAAATGATCATGAAAGCATACATATGCACAAAACCGTTAGTAGTCTCTCAATGATACTAAAATAGCACTGCTCGATTACTGAAACTGAATTTAGTCACCCAGGTTTGTACTGTAAAGCTGCTTTGAAGGCGTGTACCTAGGATACATACAATATTAATTATACATATTGCTATAAAGCGAAACAAACGTATCGGTCACGTTTCAATTCTACAGATGTTAATGATATCAAGTTAAATGACTAGTGTGAGTGTGAAAGCGTGTTTATTTTCTGTTTGCGCTGTGAAGTGTTAGAAGTCAGTCCAAAAGCACACAACTGTGAGTATTCCCGACCTTTGAGAGTCTGCACGAGCGGCGAGCGCCGCCACTTCTCGTGAGTGAGTATGTGTCCGTACGGAGGAGCCGCGTGCAGGAGCGTCGCGGGAACCGGTTTAACGTTACTCTCCATAACGATCAACACCGAGTGTAAACAACATCCGTGCACGCCAACAATAACATCCCTTCTTCTCGCTTGGGGTCGCCGTAGAGTTACAACGGATTCTTACATAACGAACGCTAATAAACACGAAAGCAAATAGCTTTTATTAGTATTGTATTTATCTGTAGCAATCGCCCACTTCCCGGTTTCACAAAACACACAAGTCTCGTCAAATCTCGCGCCTGCTTTAACCAGCAAATATCGCGATGTTTCTGTAGCACCCCGCTGCCGCTGATTGGCTGCCGTGAGTCCATTTAAACAGTTGAATCCTCACTGGAGCGTTTATATGAGTGTTGGATAGATGTGTGCTGGGATTAATCTCCTCTGAAACTTTTATATAGCAGACTCTGTAGTGCGTATTGAGGTAAGTGCAGAGCATGTGTTAATACGGGCGTTCAATGCAATCGGAATTGAATTGTAAATTTGAATGTCTGTGTTATATTAATTTTATAAGATGCATTTCCGAATAAAATGCACGCTGTAGAAGTCCAGCTCCGTTTGCTCAAACCAGAGATGCAGGGTGAGATGTGAGCGTTTAGTTTCGGTGGCCCTCTGTGATTCAGTCAGCTGGGAGAGGAGGCTCTAAGCCCGGACATGTTTCAGCCAGACCTCACGTTACCATCAATGCTGCACTCTTGCCTTTAACAGCAGGTGGAGCATTTTCTGATAGACCCATGTGTAGAGTAATACATCTCTGTAAGTGACTTGTGTTTGTTTTCCTTACGCGTATGTTTTGGCAACACATTGACATTGTTCTGCTTCTGTTGTAGCCTTTCTGCATCTTCTTCCCTTTAGTGTATTTGTTTTCTTTTTCTATCTTTTTTTTTTTATGCATTTATATACACTGCTGTTCAAAAGTTTGGGATCGGTAACATTTTTAATGTGTTTTAATTAAGCCTCTTCTGTTCATCAAGGCTGCATTTATTTGACCAAAAATACAGAAAGACAGTAATATTGTGAAATATTATTACCATTTAAAATAATGGTTTTCTACTTTAATATATTGTAAAATGTGATTTATTGCTGTGATGCGCAGCTGTATTTTCAGCATCATTACTCCAGTCTTCAGTGTCACATGATCTTCAGAAATCAGTATAATATGCTGATTTATTATCAGTGCTGGAAACTTGTGCTGCTTCATATTTATTTGGAAGCTGTGAAATCTTTCAGGATTATTTGATGAATAAAGTTAAAAAGAACAGCATTTATTTAACATAGAAATATCTTCTAACAATACAAGTCTTTATCATCACTTTCTATCAATTTAACATGTCCTTGCTGAATAAAAGCATTACTTTCTTGCAAAATAAAAATACTGACCCTGAACTTTTGAAAGGTAGTGTATATTGTTACAAAATATTTCTATTTTGAATAAATGCTGTTCTTTTTATTTATCAGATAATCCTGAAAAAAAAGAACCGCAGCTTCCAAATAAATATGAAGCAGCACAACAGTTTCCAGCACTGATAATAAATCAGCATATTAGAATGATTTCTGAAGATCACGTGACACTGAAGATTGGAGTAATGATGCTGAAAATTTAGCTTTGATCACAGGAATAAATCACATTTTAAAATATATTAAAGTAGAAAACCACTATTTTAAATGGTAATAATATTTCACAATATTATTGTCTTTCTGTATTTTTGGTCAAATAAATGCAGCCTTGATGAGCAGAAGAGACGTCTTTAAAAAAACATTACAAATCTTACTGATCCCAAACTTTTGAACGCCAGTGTATTTGCTAGTTTGTTTTAAAAATTGAAAATACAGGATGTTTTTAAATGATCAGCATGCTGCTCATATTTAATGTGTTTTACGTTGCCAGCTAGTAAAGGTTTTCAGGAGCAACCGAACGAAAGGGAAATGTTTGTGTGTGTGTGTGGTGTTTTACACATGTGCTGGTCTTCTGTGTGCAGGGTGGTTGCTGAGGATGGGGCTTTGGTTTGTGATGCTGTGGGTGTTCAGTATGCAGTGTGGTGAGGTGGATGCTTTCTTTGACTGGCTGAAGACATCTGCACCCGCTCCCGCACCCGCTCCTGCTGCTCCTCCTCCAGAGGAAACTATTGCCCCGATTCTGCTCCACGGAGAGACTCCGGCCTTTGAAATGAGTGTTGTTGATGAGAAGTTTTTGGCAGAAGCAAAGCAGATGGAACTCAGTCCACTGGATAGCTGCCATTTCCGGGTAAGCACTGCACAATGTATATGGCATGTTACTTTTAATAATTTCACAATCAACAATCAGTTAATTACAGGCAATAGAACAGCCATGTCAAGCCAATTTTCTTTAAATAGCGCTATATACAATACATACTGCTTCAAAGCAGTTTGTCACCTTTCACTTTTTTTATCAAACTTATTTCAAACTTACCATCACAGTATATTGATATAAAAAAAGCAAAGGGAAAGAAAATATAAATTCCATTTTTTGTTATCAACATCATAAAATGCATTAAAACGTTACATTAAACCAGGTTTTCCCAAACTGGGCTTAATGTAAGAACCGCAGTGGGTTCTGTGAGTTGTAAAAAAAAAAAAAAAAAAAGCAAATAATTCATACATATGAAAACAATAATGACTCTTGGAAATGTAAAAGAGGCAAAACATAATTAGGGAGAATCAAATTATGAATAATGTACTGCCATGTGTGAATAATATGGAATCATGTAATTTATAAAAAAGTAACTGTAATCTGAATATGAGCATTTAAAAATGTAATGTAGTTTAATTACAAGTACTTATCTTTTGGAATCTGATTACATGATCCAGATTACATGTAATCAGTTACTACCCAGCGCTGACTGTATCTATCAAGTATGCAAATGAGGTAAAACCAAGGACGCATTCATTTATTAGGCTACTGTCACCTTTAAGAATCTAATAAAGTCCCCATGGAATCACAATAAGTTTCGTGACTTTCAATATGAATGCATTAACTTTAAGTTATATATAAACTGTTTTGCTCCAAAAGAAGTGTCAAAATTGTCATTTAGATGATATACGCATTACAAATTTACAGAATTTCTCTACAACCAATATGAATCGAAACTTTTGACGACATCATTCTGCACTTCGGCTTCTCATCAGATTTTATGTCCAATCAAATATAGCATCTAAATTGTCCTATCCTCTACTTTCTTAAAAAGATGCTAAAGCTCCGTTTACTAATTTTTGTGTGGTGAATAGCACGTAGTGCACTATATTGAGGATGGTGAGAGTCTTAGTACTCGATGTAACTACATAATAGTCAAGTTTTAAATAGGAAAAATATAGAAACTCTGGTCATTTTTGAGCGAGATGCTAATGGTCAAATCAGATTCAATTATAATTAACTCTAGGGGAGTTGGAAAATTAGCCTATTTTCAAAAATAGTGGAGTGTTCCTTTAAGCTATTGGCTGTTTTTATAAAAAGGGTTGAGCTCTTTGATATGTCCTGCCATGGCACACAGAGAAAATGAAGGTGCTTTTAAGGTGTTATTCTGCATTTATAGTAGTGATCGACCGATATTGATATTTTATAACCGATACCAATTATTTGCGTGTTTATGTGCCCGATAACCGATATGCAGAACCGATATTTATTTACTGTTATAAAGTAAATAAATGACTGAGTGAAGTAAGAACATACTTCACTTTGGTTTTTCCTCTTTTCAG